TTGTTACTCAGGGACACAGAATTGTTACTGAGGGACACAGAATTGGGACACAGACTGTTACTCAGGGACACAGAATTGTTACTGAGGGACACAGAATTGTTACTCATGGGACAGACACAGAATTATTACTGAGGGACACAGAATTGTTACTCAGGGACAGACACAGAATTGTTACTGAGGGACACAGAATTGTTACTGAGGGACACAGAATTGTTACTCAGGGACAGACACAGAATTGTTACTCAGGGACAGACACAGAATTGTTACTGAGGGACACAGAATTGTTACTGAGGGACACAGAATTGTTACTCAGGGACAGACACAGAATTGTTACTGAGGGACACAGAATTGTTACTCAGGGACACAGAATTGTTACTCAGGGACAGACACAAAATTGTTACTGAGGGACACAGAATTGTTACTCAGGGACACAGAATCGTTTAATTAAAGAGTATGTCAGACAACACGCAGAGGAGTGGCAGAGGAGGCAATGTTTTAGGAGCGAGCAGACGTGGCAGTAGAGGAAGGGGTCGAGGCAGCACTAGTCGCAGCCAGAGGCCAGTGCTCCCGGTGTCATCCAGCGGTCGTGTCTCCACCGACAACCCTGCCGTCATCGATTGGTTGGCTCGGTCGTCTTCCTCTTCCCAGGTCACCTCTGACACCTACAGCCAACGGTCGGTGAGTACGTCAGACACAACCGTTAGTTGGCATGGCCCGGGAGCAAGCCCACTGAAATCACGTGTCCTCTACCTGCCCCTGTCCTTTGGTGTTCCCTCACCAAGCGAAAGAATCGCATGCTGTGGGCTCAGCCCCACTGTACAGTGAGGAAGAGCTAACAGAGGGCGGTCAGGAACGGGGGGAGACATCCGCCTCTTCAGCAGCCAGGCGAAGAAGTACTGGCGAGGAGAGTGGCTCGGTAGCCGGTCTAGAGACAGGTCTGTCTCCTGACCCACACGCAGCCGAGGGGGCTAGTAGTGAGGCGGAGACCCTAATTGATGATGATGAGGCTGATCGCACTTGGCAGCCTCGTCGTCATCAGGCTATTGCTTCCGCATCATCATCAGGAGAGGAGAAGAGGGTGGCAGCTTGGCAGCGAGCAAAACAGTCGGTGGGTTGCCCAGGGAGGCAGCAGGGTCGCAGCAGTGTCAGTGGAGGCAAACGGCCACGGAGTAGAGCACCAGCTCCACTGCAGCCTACCACCACGGCCAGTAGTGGTGCCGGTGTGCACGGAGGAAGTAGCAGTCAGCCAGTGAGGAGTATCGGGGGCAAAGTTTCCTACTCGGCGGTGTGGCAATTTTTTCGTCAAGCCGCCCGAGGAAGTAAACGTAGCCGTATGTCGACTATGTGGCCAGAAAGTCAAGCGTGGCCAGGGGGCCCATGTTGGGACTACAGCGTTGCGTCAGCATATGCAGCGTCGCCATTTGGTGGCCTGGGAAAACCGTGATAAAGATACGGCGGTTCTGCCTGCCCCAGCCCCCGCTCCATCACCCGCTCCGTTACTTGCTCCGTCACCCGACGTCAATCGCCCTCTATCAGCCAGTCAAGGCTCCAACACCTCTGCTGAGGGGAGTTGTCGCTCGTTGGCATCTTCCGCTCGTTCAGATGCTCCTTCTCCTGCTACTCCTCTTCACGGATTCCGTCAGCAGTCTTTCTTGGAATCCGTTTCCAAGAGACAACAGTTTGCGAGCACGCACCCGACGGTGCAAAAGCTGAACGTCCTCCTGTCCAAGTTGCTGGTGCTGCAGTCCCCTCCTTTCCAAGTGGTGGACTCAGCACCTTTCCGAGAAATGATGGCTTGTGCCGCGCCGCGGTGGAGAGTGCCAAGCCGGCATTTCTTCGCCAAAAAGGCAGTGCCAGCCCTGCATTCACATGTAGAAGAGATGGTAGGCCAGTCTTTGAGCATGTCGGTCTCTGCCAAAGTGCACGGCAGCGCCGACGTGTGGAGCTGTAACTACGGTCAGGGACAGTACATGTCATTTACGGCCCACTGGGTGAACGTGGTGCCGGCACAGCCGCACCAGCAACTTGGACAGTCACGCCGCTTTTGCCTCCACGTTTGCACGTCCTTGGTCCACAAAAGATGTCCGCCTCTACCACCTCTTCTTCCGCCGTGTCCTCAGCCGCCACCCCCCCCGTGCCAAGTCCCATTACCCGACCGGCATATCACATGTGCAGGGCGCAACGGTGTCACGCTGTGCTGCACCTGGTATGCCTTGGCGAACGTAGTCACACAGGGGAGGAACTTCTGAGTGTAATGAACAGAGAAATCGACAGATGGCTGTCTCCGCGCAAACTGAAAATCGGAACCATGTTGACCGACAACGGAAAGAACATGGTGTCTGCTCTGCTGCGTCAAGGAAGGTTGTGCCATGCGCCATGCATGGCTCACGTGTTCAATCTGGTTGTCAAGCGGTTCCTAAAATCCACCATCCCACTGCAAGACATCCTTAAAATGTCACGTAAACTTTGCATGCATTTCAGCCATTCCTACACCGCAAAGCACACCCTCCTTGAGCTGCAGCGGCAGAACGGAATTCCACAGCATCGCCTGATCTGCGACGTTGCAACAAGGTGGAATTCAACCCTACACATGTTAGACCGCCCTTTACGAACAGCGAAAGGCCATCACCGATTTCCTGATGTTACAAGCGGATAAAGGTACTCCCCTGTGTAACTTCGATGTCAGCCATTGGCAGCTCATGCGTGACACCTGCCGCTTGCTCAGGCCCTTTGAGGAGGCCACGCTATTCGTGAGTCGGCAGGACTATGGGATGAACGACGTCATTCCTCTGTTGCACGTCCTGGAACAAATGCTGTTAACAATGGCTGGTCAGGGTGCGGTAGACGTGGCGCACAGATCTCAACGCCACATGACCCCTGTGGGGGCAGGACAGGAAGAAGAGGAGGAGGTAGAGGAGGACATTGGTGCTCAGGAATTATTGAGTGAAATGGGTGGTTTTTCCACTCAGCGGACAGGAGTGGAGGAGCAGGAGCATCTGGTAGAGGAGGAGGAGGAGGAGACAGAGGACCCAGACGCACCGTGGCAGTATGCTGTGGAGATGGAGGCAGGGAGTCCCTCGCATTCCTTGGCACAAATGGCCCATAGCATGCTCGGTTGCTTGCGTAGCGACAGCCGAATAATAACCATCAGACAGAGGGATGACTTTTGGCTGTCCACCTTGTTGGACCCTCGCTACCGTTCAAAAATGGTGGCCTTTTTCACACCTGCTGAGAGGGAGGCCAAAATAACGTACTATAAAAACCACCTATGTAGTCAGTTGGTCTCTGCCTTTCTGCGCCAACGTCCATCCTCAGACACTGTGGGCCCTGTGCGCTCGCGTTCCGCTGCCATGGCAGCAGGGGAGGGGTGGGGTGGTAGGAGCAGTGGCAGCTCCACCAGCAGCGGCTGCCTCAGTCTGCAGTCGATGATGAGTAGCTTTCTTCACCAGCGCAGTGAGGAAACTACTAACCAGCCGCGCAGCAGCAGCAGCATCAGGTGGACCTGGAGCAGGACCTCAAACAACAGGCTTGGGCCTACTTGGACAGCACCCTGCCAACCGAGGTAGACAATCCCCTTGACTACTGGGCAACGAAACTTGACCTTTGGCCCCAACTAGCTGAATTTGCCCTTGAAAGGCTGTCATGCCCGGCCAGTAGCGTGGCATCGGAGCGCGTGTTTAGTGCGGCAGGAGGTATTGTAACTCCGCGGAGGACACGACTGTCCACCCAAAGTGTGGAGAGACTCACGTTTGTGAAAATGAATCAGGCGTGGATTAGTCTGGATTTCAAACCACCAGTTCCTGACACAACTGACTAAATCCGCCATGAATCATGCCCCAAACATGTGCCACTTTCAGGTCTCCTCACACTGCTGGTGTGTTCCATTTTGTCATAGGGTGCTGGCAGATTACGGGCCTCCCATTGCTGCTGCCAGGCCCGTAATCTGCCATGGGCCCCTGTACCGCCTCCTCATGCTGCTGCCAGGTCCAGAGTGTCTCATGGGTCCCTGTACGGCCTCCCATTGCTGCTGCTGTCTCCATCGCCACACACTCTGCCATGTGCCACTTTCAGGTCTCCTCACACTGCTGGTGTGTTCCATCCATTTTGTCATAGGGTGCTGGCAGATTACGGGCCTCCTATTGCTGCTGCCAGGCCCGTAATCTGCCATGGGCCCCTGTACCGCCCCATGCTGCTGCCAGGTCCAGAGTGTCTCATGGGTCCCTGTACGGCCTCCCATTGCTGCTGTCTCCATCGCCACACTCTGCCATGTGCCACTTTCAGGTCTCCTCACACTGCTGGTGTGTTCCATTTTGTCATAGGGTGCTGGCAGATTACGGGCCTCCCATTGCTGCTGCTGGGCCCGTAATCTGCCATGGGCCCCCGTACCGCCTCCTCATGCTGCTGCCAGGTCCAGAGTCTCTCATGGGTCCCTGTACGGCCTCCCATTGCTGCTGTCTCCATCGCCACACTCTGCCATGTGCCACTTTCAGGTCTCCTCACACATGCTGGTGTGTTCCATTTTGTCATAGGGTGCTGGCAGATTACGGGCCTCCCATTGCTGCTGCCAGGCCTGTAATCTGCCATGGGCCCCTGTACCGCCTCCTCATGCTGCTGCCAGGTCCAGAGTGTCTCATGGGTCCCTGTACGGCCTCCCATTGCTGCTGTCTCCATCGCCACACTCTGCCATGTGCCACTTTCAGGTCTCCTCACACTGCTGGTGTGTTCCATTTTGTCATAGGGTGCTGGCAGATTACGGGCCTCCCATTGCTGCTGCCAGGCCCGTAATCTGCCATGGGCCCCGTACCGCCTCCTCATGCTGCTGCCAGGTCCAGAGTCTCTCATGGGTCCCTGTACGGCCTCTCCATTGCTGCTGTCTCCATCGCCACACTCTGCCATGTGCCACTTTCAGGTCTCCTCACACTGCTGGTGTGTTCCATTTTGTCATAGGGTGCTGGCAGATTACGGGCCTCCCATTGCTGCTGCCAGGCCCGTAATCTGCCATGGGCCCCTGTACCGCCTCCTCATGCTGCTGCCAGGTCCAGAGTGTCTCATGGGTCCCTGTACGGCCTCCCATTGCTGCTGTCTCCATCGCCACACTCTGCCATGTGCCACTTTCAGGTCTCCTCACACTGCTGGTGTGTTCCATTTTTTGTCATAGGGTGCTGGCAGATTACGGGCCTCCCATTGCTGCTGCCAGGCCCGTAATCTGCCATGGGCCCCCGTACCGCCTCCTCATGCTGCTGCCAGGTCCAGAGTCTCTCATGGGTCCCTGTACGGCCTCCCATTGCTGCTGTCTCCATCGCCACACTCTGCCATGTGCCACTTTCAGGTCTCCTCACACTGCTGGTGTGTTCCCATTTTGTCATAGGGTGCTGGCAGATTACGGGCCTCCCATTGCTGCTGCCAGGCCCGTAATCTGCCATGGGCCCCTGTACCGCCTCCTCATGCTGCTGCCAGGTCCAGAGTGTCTCATGGGTCCCTGTACGGCCTCCCATTGCTGCTGTCTCCATCGCCACACTCTGCCATGTGCCACTTTCAGGTCTCCTCACACTGCTGGTGTGTTCCATGTTCCATTTTGTCATAGGGTGCTGGCAGATTACGGGCCTCCCATTGCTGCTGCCAGGCCTGTAAATCTGCCATGGGCCCCTGTACCGCCTCCTCATGCTGCTGCCAGGTCCAGAGTCTCTCATGGGTCCCTGTACGGCCTCCCATTGCTGCTGTCTCCATCGCCACACTCTGCCATGTGCCACTTTCAGGTCTCCTCACACTGCTGGTGTGTTCCATTTTGTCATAGGGTGCTGGCAGATTACGGGCCTCCCATTGCTGCTGCCAGGCCCGTAATCTGCCATGGGCCCCTGTACCGCCTCCTCATGCTGCTGCCAGGTCCAGAGTGTCTCATGGGTCCCTGTATGGCCTCCCATTGCTGCTGTCTCCATCGCCACACTCTGCCATGTGCCACTTTCAGGTCTCCTCACACTGCTGGTGTGTTCCATTTTTTCATAGGGTGCTGGCAGATTACGGGCCTCCCATTGCTGCTGCCAGGCCCGTAATCTGCCATGGGCCCCCGTACCGACTCCTCATGCTGTGACGTTGCAACAAGGTGGAATTCAACCCTACATATGTTAGACCGCCTTTACGAACAGCGAAAGGCCATCACAGATTTCCTGATGTTACAAGCGGATAAAGGTACTCCCCTGTGTAACTTCGATGTCAGCCATTGGCAGCTCATGCGTGACACCTGCCGCTTGCTGAGGCCCTTTGAGGAGGCCACGCTATTCGTGAGTCGGCAGGACTATGGGATGAACGACGTCATTCCTCTGTTGCACGTCCTGGAACAAATGCTGTTAACAATGGCTGGTCAGGGTGCGGTAGACGTGGCCCACAGATCTCAACGCCACATGACCCCTGTGGGGGCAGGACAGGAAGAAGAGGAGGAGGTAGAGGAGGACATTGGTGCTCAGGAATTATTGAGTGAAATGGGTGGTTTTTCCACTCAGCGGACAGGAGTGGAGGAGCAGGAGCATCTGGTAGAGGAGGAGGAGAAGGAGACAGAGGACCCAGACGCACCGTGGCAGTATGCTGTGGAGATGGAGGCAGGGAGTCCCTCGCATTCCTTGGCACAAATGGCCCATAGCATGCTCGGTTGCTTGCGTAGCGACAGCCGAATAATAACCATCAGACAGAGGGATGACTTTTGGCTGTCCACCTTTTTGGACCCTCGCTACCCTTCAAAAATGGTGGCCTTTTTCACACCTGCTGAGAGGGAGGCCAAAATAACGTACTATAAAAACCCACTTATGTAGTCAGTTGGTCTCTGCCTTTCTGCGCCAACGTCCATCCTCAGACACTGTGGGCCCTGTGCGCTCGCGTTCCGCTGCCATGGCAGCAGGGGAGGGGTGGGGTGGTAGGAGCAGTGGCAGGTCCACCAGCAGCGGCTGCCTCAGTCTGCAGTTGATGATGAGTAGCTTTCTTCACCAGCGCAGTGAGGAAACTACTAACCAGCCGCAGCAGCAGCAGCATCAGGTGGACCTGGAGCAGGACCTCAAACAACAGGCTTGGGCCTACTTGGACAGCACCCTGCCAACCGAGGTAGACAATCCCGTTGACTACTGGGCAACGAAACTTGACCTTTGGCCCCAACTAGCTGAATTTGCCCTTGAAAGGCTGTCATGCCCGGCCAGTAGCGTGGCATCGGAGCGCGTGTTTAGTGCGGCAGGAGGTATTGTAACTCCGCGGAGGACACGACTGTCCACCCAAAGTGTGGAGAGACTCACGTTTGTGAAAATGAATCAGGCGTGTTTTAGTCTGGATTTCAAACCACCAGTTCCTGACACAACTGACTAAATCCGCCATGAATCATGCCCCAAACATGTGCCACTTTCAGGTCTCCTCACACTGCTGGTGCTGTCCATTTTGTCATAGGGTGCTGGCAGATTACGGGCCTCCCATTGCTGCTGCCAGGCCCGTAATCTGCCATGGGCCCCTGTACCGCCCCCCCACCGCCTCCTCATGCTGCTGCCAGGTCCAGAGTCTCTCATGGGTCCCTGTACGGCCTCCCATTGCTGCTGTCTCCATCGCCACACTCTGCCATGTGCCACTTTCAGGTCTCCTCACACTGCTGGTGGGTTCCATTTTGTCATAGGGTGCTGGCAGATTACGGGCCTCCCATTGCTGCTGCCAGGCCCGTAATCTGCCATGGGCCCCCGTACCGCCTCCTCATCATGCTGCTGCCAGGTCCAGAGTGTGTCATGGGTCCCTGTACGGCCTCCCATTGCTGCTGTCTCCATCGCCACACTCTGCCATGTGCCACTTTCAGGTCTCCTCACACTGCTGGTGGGTTCCATTTTTGTCATAGGGTGCTGTATGGCCTCCCATTGCTGCTGCCTCCACCGCCACACTGTGGCTCCACACTCTGGTTTTGGCCCCGTGACTGCCCAAATGAGTGAAGTGTGCGGTGATTCTAAGATCGACGGCACTCATCTGCATGTCATACTGACTGACAGTATTATTTCTCTTCCCCAGCAGACTCCAAGGGCATTTAAATTAAAGGTACAGTGTTCTGCACTAATATAAAGGCTCTCTGAAGCCTAGAAACACCCTTTTATAAGTTACATTCGCAGCGAATATATTCGCATCGAATCGAATTTATTCCTCGAATTTGCCGAATCAGCCGAATCGAATTTTTGAATACTTCGCTCATCTCTAGTTCCAACAACATCGATTCGCCGAAATAACAAAAAAACCCAATGCCCGCCGACCAGTCCGCACCCGCCGAGCACTCGCCGCAATATAACAGTTGCCGGTCAGGTGTAGACAATTCTATAAAGCTAGCGGAGACATCTACTACACTATATAAGGCGTATTCTCTTTTGAAAGCCTTGGAATCCCAAGGCTACCTTAACCCCTTTCCTACAGGGCACTTATACCCCCTTCGTGCCCAGGCAAATTTTCAGCTTTCATCACTGTCGCACTTTGTGTGACAATTGCGCGGTCAATCAACACTGTACCCATATGACATTTTTATTGTTCTTTTTTCACACAAATAGAGCTTTCGTTTGGTGGTATGTACTCTCTGTTGGGTGTTTTATTTTTTGCGCTATTAACAAAAAAAGAGCAAACTTTTTTTTTTTAAATGTTTTCTTTGTTTCTATTATAAAATTTTGCAAACAGGTAATTTTTCTCCTCCACTGATGTGCATTGATGAAGCTGCACTGATAGGCATCACTGATAGGCATCACTGATGAGCTGGCACTGATATGCAACAATGATGGGCACTGATAGGCAGCACTGATGGGTGGCACTGACCGATGGCACTGACTAGCCGCACTGCTGGGAACTGACTGGCAGCACTGCTGGGTACTGACTGGCTGTACTGCTGGGCATTGATGGGTGGCACTGCTAGGCAGCACTTCTGGGCGGCACTGATGGATGGCACTGCTGGGCACTGATGGGTGGCACTGCTGGGCACAGGTGGGTAGTACTGCTGGGCACTGCTGGGTATTGACTGGCTGCACTGCTGGGCATTGATGGGTGGCACTGCTAGGCAGCACTTCTGGGCGGCACTGATGGGTGGCACTGCTGGGCACTGATAGGTGGCACTGCTGGGCACAGGTGGGTGGTACTGCTGGACACTGCTGGGCACAGGTGGGTGGCACTGATGGGCACAAGTGGGTGACACTGGTGAGTGGCACTGATGGGCACCGATCATCAGGGCACTGATTATCAGTGCCCTGATGATCGGTGCCGATCCCTCCTCTGACAATTGCCGGTTATCGTCAGTACTTTCTTTACGCTGTGACAGTGTGAGGAAAGTGCAGCCAATAACCGGCAACTGCATTTACCAGTCATCTGCTGTGTCATTGGACATGGCTGATCACATGGTAAAAAGCCTCTGTGATTGGCCTTGTACCACCTCATGTGATCAGCTGTGTCCGTAGGACACAGCGATCACGAGATCGCCGGATGCGTTTGGGAGGTTGCACGTCGGAGGTTGTGTTCTGGGAGGACATCATATGACGCCCTCCCAGAACTGGCCGGTCGCAGTGAAGCCATCATTCAGATATCTGCGGTCAGCAAGTGGTTAATATCTACCATATGGGAGGAGGAGTGGATAGCCCCTAGCGGCCAAAGGAAATAGTGATCAACTGTGGAGATGTCTCATTAAACACGCAGTTTTTACATGCGTTGGCGGTGAGAGTTCTGAGATCACAGAAGTACCACCAATTAATGCATGGAATTCACATTAAGCACGCATTCTCATTCTATGGTGTTGGATTACGTTACATTTGGAATCATATGAACTTTACACATTTTTTTTTGGAGCACTTTGATATCAGTTCATTTTGATTGTGTAGTAATTGATGATACCTATATTCATTTATAATAATTTATTTAGGGATTATGAGCACTTTGTATCCAGTCTATTCATGTTCTTGTTCAACAAGATGATGGATTGATGTTTATTTAATATTCTGCAAGCTACATCACATTTTATTTATTTTATTTCTGCTTCTGGGAATGTCTTTCTTGAGATCCAAAGCACTGTATTTGGATGAGAAGAAGTATTTAGAGTTTTTTTCCTGTTTCATCCATCTGTTATAAGATGGCAAGGTAGACCAAGATATCTAGGTGTGGTAAATGCTCTGCAAGCTAATATTTGACAAGGGGTGGACTGACAACTCATGGGGCCCTCGGGCAATAGGGGATCATGGGGCCCCTGTGTCCTTGCCCAAACTCAAAAAAGCCTATGAAAAAGGTACCAGGGGCATCTCACGGGGCCCCCTACTGACCCCAGGCCCTCGGGCAGTGCCCGAGTTTCCAAATGGTCAGTCCGCCCCTGTATTTGACTAAATCCTGTATTCCAAAAACCAACTTGAGTCCTAAGCAAGCACAACAATCCTTCTGAGACCTTTGACATTAATTAGCCTCCTATGATTCCCTATAGGGCGAGACGTTCAGGAAGAGTTTTGTGTGTGATGTCAGCATACAACATGTTTGCAATGGTATGGAATCTTTGTTTATACTCATACCGTTGATTTTTACACTTCTTTTTTGTAAATTTTAATAACAGTTGAAATACTTTTGCAATATATACAGATTTTGCATCCCTCATCTCATCAAAACATCTGTTTGGAAGGGGTGCGTTTTGAGTACGAGGAGAGCAGCAACTTCTGAAGATAGTAGTCACAGTTATACAAGAGTGTCTGTCACTTAACTGGTCAGAAGGCTGACTTGATGAGGAGGCTTCTCTTATGGCTAAGTGCCAAGCACCCATGAAGGTGAGAACAGGGAGTGCCGTTTAGGTAGATCTGCTGGAAGTTGCTTGCAGCACAGGATAGCTGTCATCTGGTTGTCAGGACAGATGGCAGGACCTCAGTTTCAACTAGAGATGTAACGGGACCAGAGCAGTGACCACAGGTGAGGTGGCAACTGAGGAAAAAGCAGGATCAAGCTGGTAGGACATGACTGAGGAAGCGTGGTCAAGATGGTAGCTGAAGTCATACACAGGAAGGCAAGAGAGAAGTAGACAGGAGAGTGGTCAAGAGCAGAGCCGAGGTCAAACACAGGGATCCAGTGGAGAAAGCAGAAGAGTAGTCAAAGAGCAAGCCAGAGTCATGCATTGTAGAGCAAGAGAAGCCGAGTCCTTAGAACAAGTCGGGGTCAAAACCAGAGAACAGGCATCAGGGAGGTCCAGAGGTGGATTGGTAACATGTAGTCCAAAGGATATAGGAAACACAGGGCTGAGGAGTGATGGTAGCTGAAGATCATACAGGTGCATCCATTGTACCTATATAGGGCGTTTGGCACCAGTTCTGGCAGCAGATGTGCATGAACACAAGACAGTGTGCATGCCCATGCTAACATGCATGGGCACAATCCAAATGCACCTGTGCAATGTGTGGACCTGTGCGCATTCCTACACAAACAAGCATGGCCATGTACAGTATTGGCAGTTATGCCAGTTTTTTTCCTACTCACACATGCATCTGTGTTCTGCTGTCTCCTTCTAAGTACATGCTCATGTTTGTTCTGAATAGCACTGTGAAAGTCTACCCCATATCTACCTCACAAGACTGAAAGGCTAAAGAGTGGTGGACAGTAGTCAGCCCTTGGAGATCTGTGGATGGGAGACAGCCTAGGGAGGCCAGGGCAAGGCTTCCTCCTTAAACTTACCACAAGCACAGGCTGGCCTCTCTGGTGCAGTTTTAGGTCATTGTATCTTGTATGTTTGAAATTCAATGATAGGTGCAGCATTTTCATGTTGATCTCCATATAATGGTGGAAAGGTTTTTTTCCTTTGTTAGAGGATCTAGTGCTGTAAAAAATAGATGCACATATCTACTTCATATGCCAAAATCCCCATGTACCAAACACCCTACTATATGGCAATATTTTCTGATGACTCTGCACTTGTTGGGGATGCTATTGCCCTGGGAGGATATGCCTCAACGCATTTTGTGGGAAACCTTGCTTCTTCAAGAGGAATAGGGCAGAACTTTAAAAACAAGAAATAGTAAATGTGTTCAAAACCCATTACAAAAGTACATTAACAATAAAGAGTCCAATACCACATAAACAATTTAAAGCTCACCAATCGAGAGTCCACACAGATAAGGGAAAAGGAGTTGAGACCAAAGTCTTGCAATACCTTCCCTTGGGAAACAAAAATAGAAACAAATTCTCCTGCGCTCTGAGACCCAAAAGAGGTGGATAGATGGAACCATAACTTGAAAAAAGAGCATAGAGGAGATTCCATAAGACAGGCAGTTACTCTAGGACAGCTGGACAGGGCCGTGGAAGGTCCTTAACCCATCAGCAGGACCAGTATCTGCCCTTTTGTGCATGAAAGAACAAGTTGAGCACTGCCAGAGCCCTACAAAATGGCCTCCAGCAGGGCACCAATGTGAATGCAGTTGTGAGAAAAAGTATGTGCACCCCTTGGGATTACGTGGAGTTTTGCATGAATTGGGCATAAAATGTGCTCTGAACGTCATCTAAGTCACAACAATGGAAGAACACAGTCTGCTGAACATAATACTACACAAACATTAGATGTTGCCATGGTTTATTTGCACATAACATGTAAACATTCACAGTGCAGGGAGGAAAAAGTATGTGAACCTTTGAACTTAATAATTGGTTGACCCTCTTTTGGCAGCAATAACCTCAACCAAACGTTTCCTGTAGTTGCAGATCAGACCTGCACAATGATCTGGAGTCATTTTGGACCACTCCTCTTCACAAAACTGTTTCAGTGTAGCAATATTCTTGGGATGTCTGGTGTGAATCGCTATCTTAAGGTCATGCCACAGCATTTCAATCGGGTTGAGGTCAGGTCTCTGACTGGGCCACTCCAGAAGGCGTATTCTGTGCTGTTGCAGCCATTGTTTTGTTAATTACTTGTATGCCGTGTATATACATTTCCTGGTGTTCTTTATCTAAATTATTTTTCTCAATTTATTGAATTTGATTATTTGAATTTAAATTATCTGTTTTAAATTTTTGGATTTCTCTGAGATTTTTCTTTACAAGAAGCTTTCTCAACTATCCACACACTCCAAGTGTTAATTAAT